GATTTTTTGTCCGAGACTCGGAAATGTCTCGAGACTGAAATCCCTAGAAGTCATTATATAACATATGTATTTATTACAATTGTTACAGCGCGTTTGCATAATACAACTAATACAGGCAGCAGAGAATTCCATTCATTCATCCGTTTCATTCACAATATTTTATATAAGTGCGCGCCAATTCTGCTATGCGGTTATCTAAATATAATTATCTAACTTTAAAGTTACTTTTCGCAAGTTTGAATAAAGGCAAGTCTTCTAAAACGCAGAAATTATTAACAGACAATAAAGAAACAAACGTTTTCGAGATGTAAAGGACATTTTTACTAAAAGAGCATGCACGAAAATTTCGAGTTTAGATAACCGGTCTCCAGGAGTCAGTAAGTTCGTCAAGCAGTATTTGCTGTCATAATAATAAAATTAAGCGTAATATACAAGTCAGTAGGTAAGAGGTAAAGAACGTTAAGTCCATATTTTGGAATTTAGATGTTTTTACTAACATTGCTTTAGAATACTAAGAATCACGCAATGGTAAAACACCCTAAGTCGTATTGTCGTTTGTTTTTTATTTATCATATTTCATTTGTCCTTAATATTGATTTTAAATGCGTAATTAAGAGACACATTCAATAAATTACGCTCTTCTAGTGAACATTACTGTTTCGCACTTCTTTGCATATTTATTGCATATAAAATTTTTAATACCTGTATAGTTTTGCGGTTTGGTATCTACATATTGCGATATCGTTACGTTCAGGTTATCAAAATTGTGTAAACGGTTAAACTAGACAAAATTACACACGCATCCGACATGTTTATTTACACAATAAAAATCCTCGAAATAGCTATAGTTTGTACAAAAATCAACGTTATATATCAATGAATCAAGGAGCATTTTTCATTGTTAGGATTTCAGTCTTTTGGATGTGTAGATATTTTCAGTCACGTTGACCGTTTAAATCAATTTGACGTTAACTGTACGTGTTAAATATATGGATTAAGATTTCTCTAAAATCTCAAATAAATATTTGATGTAAGAAATAAACTTGTTGTACTGGAGAGTATGCGTATTAAAATATAAATGAGATGTTTCTCATGTTTTACAAAAATATTACATTGTTTGACTTATCATAATACATTTTCATTAATACCGATATATCTCTGTAAGCTATCTGTCGAATTGAAATATGTGCATATGTATTTCCATTGCTTCTTTCAGTTATTGATATTTAAATTCAGTTTGTTTACATTTTTATTGTTAGGTGAAATAGGTCAGTATTTCTGTAAAAAAACTGTTTTTTTTTGTGTCTGAGAAATAAGTTTTAATTTCAATTTTATTATTTATTTTATTCATATATATGGATTAATTATTTAAATTAGGATTGCTGTATGGAAACAGTAAGTTCAAAGAAAATTGTCGATATTTTTAAAAATGTACGGACAACGGCACATCAGACTACACATCTTTGTTCGAAAATCGCCTCCATTGCAACGGAACAAGATACGTCAATGTGTAGCTTGATGCGCTGGCGTGTACAACATTGCCTGAATTTTTAATAATTACAATAAATCAATATTAATATTTTTTTAACAGCTTTTTTTATTCGACTGTTGGATAACGAAATAATGCATTCCTCACTCCTTTGTAATCCTGAGTCTTTATCAAACGTCCTGTCCTTTGCATTTTTTGCCGTACACCGTATTGTTTTTCCAATCACAAACGATGCTAACAATGGCTTGCTTTCCTATACGTGTACGCTCTACAAAACTACGAATTATCATTAAGAACTTTTGAATTTTAAACATCAAGTAAGTCACATTTTGGTTCTTAAAGTAAGGTGTATAAAGGTTGCGGTGGATGCAAATGTGTTTTTTGTGATGTCTCGGTGCTATGCACACGAAGTCGGCAGTGGCGCGCGGCACGGCCAACCACTGTAGTTCCGGTGGGGACGATCACCACACGGTGTGTGCGCGCCTTTACATGCCGATCTTCGGTCGCGTCGAACGCACGTAGCCATAGAGCTCCCGCTGCGCGCCAACCTCCATCGGATTCCGAATCTTTTTCCGATACGATATTGTTTTTAAATTCTTTCCGCGTCAATTTCATGTCCGTTTGTAATTCGAAATCAAACAATTAGACTGTGGAACATTTAAATTTAAAATGCGTTACATGATAGTGAAGTGATTTTTTTAAATATTGTATAAAATGAAATTAACCATTTTAATTTTTACGCTTGATTATTTGGAAGTTATAAAATAGTAAAATGAGTTTTGTGAACTTATTGGAAGGATTGTGTCGTGATTAGTGAACAATTTTGAAAAACGGGTTAACTGCGAACTTTTACAAAATGAAGAAAATTAATTGGAACTTTAATGCGAAAATTTTGTTTTTCTTCACATCGATGGTAGCTGTCGGTAAGTCTAATTTTTCTTATTTAAAGGTCTTATGTACGTATTTTTTTTATTTAATTTTCATTTTTTGTTTTACTAATCTTCTACATCAGGTATACTTCGCTCTTCTTTGTGTTGTTATCGACGTATTTTGAATGTTTGGTATATTTTTGTTTTTAGCCTGCATTGTTTTGTGTTTTGCTATGCAATTTTTAGTACCTACTTATTTAGCACTACCGTGTTGTCGGAGACTACGGACCTCGTGGTTTCTTTAGGGACTGCCAAATTAGAAGAATTTTTGGTGTGGGACTTGGTAGAGTAAAAAAGGAAGGAAGAACACAGATCGATCTTGCCCAACTTGCGTTATATTTTGTAAAAAAAATTACGTGGACAATTTTTTTTTTATGAAACTTTTTGTCGTCACTTAGCGTCTTGGGTCCAATTAGGCTTGTAGGCCGCATATGGTTACATTTTTTCGAGATCTGATGTACTTCCGTATTTATTACATCCGCTTGTTAGCAACGAGCGTCTTAAATATCCCAAACATATGGCACGTCATGTGTCTACGAGGGAAGAAAATAAAATAAATGTATAAATATGGCATGTCATTTTTGTTATTAGACAGTCATAATAACATACAGCAGCGGCCGCTCGCTATTTTTAACCGACTTCAAAAAAGGAGGAGGTTCTCAATTATTCGACTGTGTTTTTATTATTGATTCTTTTTTGTTGGAAAGAGAGTACCTCAGTATTGGTACCATTTAAATTTGAAGAAAAAGTGGCAAACTAGGGGTTGAATCCGGCAACCGATTTCAGTGAAACTTGGCAAATAGATGTAATACCACGAACTTTTGAGGTCGATTTTATAGTTAAAAATGTTATAATTGTTAGTACCTAAGTATACGCTGAACTATAGTACCAGTAGTACCTAAGTCAATGTACGATAGTAGGTACCTTTTGTCTTCTTAGATTGGAGATGTGTCTGACAATGATGGAACAATCTCTTCTTTGTGGGATTAGTAATAAAGACTATTTGTCGACTGTTCCATCCATTTTATATGTATTATAGTACGAAATATGTATTTATCTAACTTTTAATGATTTAGTGTTTTTTGTTACATAATTTTTGTTGTGCACATACAACATGTCGTGCACATTACAATAACGTGTAATTATTCTCTCCTGTATTTAGGTCTGATAGAAGAAATTTCTGTTAGAAATAAGCAGTAGGTACCTTTTGTTTATGTTTTCCTTGTTACTAAATAAAAAAAAAGTATAAACAAAATTACTTTATTTGACATTCGGTACAATGATGACAATGTAAATGAAAAAGGAAATTTCTGGATAATTTCCTTTTTCGTCCTACGACTATGGGATACGGAGGGAAAGTAAACTTAAAATATTGTAGATACACATTTTTTATTTAGATAGACATTTTTGCTTTACGGAGACATTCTTCTATTTTTAAAAGTAACTAGTAGTACCGAACAATCAGCAGATCTGCCACGCCGAAGTTCCGGGTTCGATTTCCGTACAGGGAGAAACATTTGTGTGGCCTACATTTAGGTATTTCTCTCGTGAGTTTGGGTGTAATTTGTGGTGGCCCGGGAATCGAACCCGGGACCTCTGCGTAACAGACCAGCGGGGTAACTGTTCAGTCACGGAGGCAGTTGTAATAATTATAACAAACTGGTGGAGTAATGTCATAAAAATAAATGATAGTAGAACATCGCGATATTCAATAAAATAATAGATATCGAGTTCTTAGGTTTTTGCGATTGTTATACATAGGAAATGAAACAATTTTTCCGGATTTAAATCGTGTATATTTGTTTTTTAAACAAACCAACGTTTCGGGCCCTTTACAGGTCCCATGTCAGCCAACTGTGATCATGGGACTTGTAAAGGGCCCGAAACGTTTCTTTGTTTGAAAAAACAAATATACCTACGCGATTTAAATCCGGAAAAATAGTTTCATTTCCTAAAAATAATATATATCACAAATTAAAATATGTCATATATGTATACAAACTTGACTACCTATTTATTTTTAGGTTATTTATTTATAATGGTCACGTTGTCACTACAAATTGGGCGAGTTTATTACAATTGCAATCTAATATACTTATGAAAATCACGTAACCCAAAACATTTCGGGCCCATGGTCACGGCTGAATGAGATGGTATGGATGATAGTGTCGCCATCTCTGTATATAATCTTAATCAGTATTGATTCATATAAATTTTTAATAAGAACAGGCGGATTTGATTATCTATAATGGATCAAAAGAAAAACTTTAAAACATGTCTCGTTTTTATGTTTTTAAAATAGACATAGTTCCACGTGTAGTGTGTATGTATGATCTTACTTATAAATGAACCTGTGCCCAGCAGTTGGACGAATAATAATAATAATGGGCCGATGATGATTGAAATGAAATAACTTGGGCTATTTATTGCATAAGTGTGATCAACGTTCAGTGGATAGAATATTTATTGAAAGCGGGCAACACTTTTGCGCTATTGCGCACACTTAAGATTTTGAAGATGGAGTAAAACGACTGTTTTCGAAACTGACTCTACAAACTACAAATAGAATAGTACTAATTAGTATTTGCGAAAAACTCGGAGGTGCGAGCCCGAAATCGAATATTTCTGCTGCCAAGCTGTAATGTTGTTACTGTGTTCCGGTTTTGAAGAATAAGGGTGCTGGTGAAATATATACATATATATACATATATAAATATAAACAGGCACATATGAACTTGTCAACTTATGTCTCAGGGTAACGGGCGCAGTGGCAGTGCCCCTCAGATCTTTGCGATTTAAAGCTCTGAGTGGCACTCATATTGTTATAGACAAGCTTACCATCAGGCGCACGACTTGTTCGTCCCGTCACTTGATATTAGAAAAAAAAATCGAAACCACGGCCTGTGCTTGAAAGTCGGTATGTCAAACCATGACCACGGCTTGTATTTGATTAATTGTACGCAAATGATTATAATTTTTAAATAGACTACACTTGAAACTTAATTTATTAATGAATGACAGTTTATTAACTGTCATTTTCCTCCAGCTTCAAAAAAGACACACTTTGAGCCTGTTGCACCGTAGTAGGTGTAATACTAATAAAGGCGTTTTCTACTACGACTGTAAGACTATAGGTACATTATGCATACCTCGAGGTATTGGAATTCATCTCCTAAAGGTATAACTCGCTATAACTTCAACATAAGCGCATATAAAGCGGATGTCGATTAACAAGCCAATCTAGGACGTATTGCAAGACGTTAAGGTGCAGGATCTTCCAGACGACTTGTATCGGATATTACATTCCATACTGGCATATGTAAACAGTTAAAACGTTCATTGGAAATCGTCAATATCCTATTTTAGCCTTCGCAAACCACGTAGCGTAACTTAAATGGACTTTATAACTAGGCAATTGTAGAGTTCATATCCGCGTAATATATAAAAGTCTTGAGTACGCCAAGCGTAATGTACGCTGTTTTGCATTCTCTCACAAGGTTCTCTTATTTTCAGTCACAGGACATTAAATTCGTCTAGGAGGTTTATTCTATATAGGAGGTTCTAATTTTAAGAGTCAATACAATCACTTTGGAAAAAATATATAGTAAAATTGAGGATATGCACTGATTAGTATACGGTGTGAAAACACTTCTTGAAAATTTTACGATACAAGAAAACCACTGTACTTATTCATTAGGTACTTTACATATGTAAAATGATTTTTATATACCAATGATTTTTTTTATATGAACTGAACTAAACAGAACACGTATAGTATACGATATACAATTTTTAAATGGCTTTAGTTTCGTTTGTAAAAAAAAAGGAAGAAAGGCCAGTGCGCCTGCCGCTCGACCTTAGCAAAATGAACCGTATTAGCACGGGATACAATTTAATTGGAGCTGAGGTATGTAGTATCGATTCTTAAGTTTACCGGTATAATAAATTTTACGTGATTTTGATTAAAAAAAATATTTGATTAATATTCGATTTAAAAAAATATTTAATAAATATTTGATTAAAAAAATAGTTTCATTTAGAATGTACCAGACAAAGACAGCAATTGCGTGGTCTCAAACGAGGGAATTACCTGTACTATGAGTTCCAGAGCAACGGAATTCACTTCAGGGCACTACTCAGAACATTGAGCGCAGAATCAGAAATTACTCCTCTAGTTTGTTATAATTATTAATACAAAGATCGAACACTAAGAAAAACTCCTTCGATCCGGCTGGATTTGAACCAGCGCCTTCAGCGTACCGTGTCTGACGCTACGGAACGAACCAGCAGACCTTACGAATCTTTCTATGTGCTTATTGCAGTTATTTGTTGTTGGTTTTTAATGACTTTTGCCGTAGCGCCATCTGTGATAAATCTATGGAATTTTTTCTACATTCAACCAGGTATCTTTACAGCTACCAGCGGCTGACTAGAGATGTCGCTTTAATAATAAATGTAGTGTTAACTTTATTGAATAATATTCAAAAGTTAATTTCCCAAATGATCCGGAAATCCAATCTGGGACCAACTTTTTTTATACCATCAAATGACTGTACGAAACTCAGAGCTTTAAATCGCAAAGATCTGAGGGGCACTACCACTGCGCCTGTCACCCTGAGACATAAGTTGACAAGTCCCATGTGCCTGTAATTTCACCAGCACCCTTGCCCTTCAAAACCGAAACACAGTAATGCTGACATTACTGCTTGGCGGCAGAAATCGGTAAGGGGGCAGTACTACCCTGGACGAATTGTGAAAGAGTCACTAGGAGCTCTACTGCTACTTCATCCATCGGCCATTGTGCAAAGCGTGTAGTCGTCGTTACGTACTACGCGGAAAACAAAATCATGTTACCTACCCCCCACAACCACTCGAATAAACTCTCGTATTTGAGAATAGCCCTGAAACGGTAATGCGTCTCACGGTCTGTGGCCATGCGGGACGCAAGCGCATGCATTCGAAATTCAAATCTTTACATTGTTTCACCGGCCAAT